AACTCTGATGTAGCTGCTGAATCCAATGCTCAGCCACCCTTTCCAGCAACTCTTTGGGCCAATCTCTTCAAAGAAAACAGAGGAGAAAGCAAAGGCCATCACTGGAATAATGAGTGTGAACCTGCTCCTTTGGCTGAAAAGGTTATTGTGGACTATGGAGATGTGCAATCCCTCGATGAAACTCTTGGTTTCTGTCTGATTGGTTATATTGTAGGGAAGTTTCCTGGTCTTAAAGCCTTGCTAAACGTATGCAGAAAATGGGGTGTGAAGTTTGCTTATTCCCCACATTCGAGTGGATGGCTCATCTTCAGGTTCCCTTCGGAAGATGATATGAACAAAGTTCTCCAAGCTGGACCATACTTTGTTTTCAAAAGCCCTCTGCTTTTAAAGGTCATGCCACCTTATTTCCACTTTGGTGAGGAAGAACTAAGCAAAATCCCTGTTTGGATTAAGCTTAGAAATTTACCGCTTGAGCTCTGGAGCAAGAAAGTTGTAGGTAAGATACTCAGCAACGTGGGCAAACCATTGAGGACTGATCACTTGACTGCCACAAGGGGTTCTATCTCCTTTGCTCGAGCACTTGTGGAAGTGGATGCAGCCAAAGAGTTAACACAAATGGTTGTAATCCAACTTCCAGATGGCAGTTTGCTCAAGCAACCAGTGGAGTATGAGAACGAACCTACCTTCTGCAATTATTGCAAAACCATTGGGCATGAAGTGGCCTCCTGCACTTATGCTCCTAAGGGTGCTGCCAAAACTGATAATTCAGAGAATGATACAGAATCATCCAAGGAGACTGGTCCTACTAATGTTATTCATGTGGATGGAGCTCACGTCTCTCCACTAGTCCAAACTGAAAATCTGACCTTGGTTGCTGCCACCAACATAGGCCAGCAATCTGAACCAGAATCGATTGAGGGCCAGAACCAAGCCACCCTTGCTGTTTCTAAAATTTCTGGTAATCCTTCTTGTTCTCTTAATGATGGATTCACTGTTGTAGCTTCCAAATCAAGAAGGAAAAAATTCAAATCAATTATGCAGAAAATCCATCTATCTAAGGTGTCAAGTAGGCCTTTCAAAGTGGGGAAAAAAATTGCTAACACCTTCCCAGCTAAAGATGGTGCCTCACATGTTGCTAATGGTGCTAATGGGAAGTTTAGACCACCATTGTCCCCTGCTAAAGTTGCTGGTAATGAGAAGGCTGCTCAGCCAATTACCTCCCTTGCAACTAGAAGCATCCCAATTGGTCATGTTCCTGACCTTCCTTCTGCTTCCAAGCCCCCTGATTCAAATTTGAAGAAGAACAAATCGAAGAAGCCAGCCCACCTCAAGGAAAACAGAATCAACTCTCAACCAATGGAGGCACTGAATAAGGGGTCTAAAAATCATTTTATTACTGGTGTTGGGGATTCTCTCCCCTCTCCAATATTATGATCATCTCCTCATGGAATATTAGAGGCTTCAACATGCCTCTAAAGCATCGTGCGATGCAAAAGTTTCTTCAAGACAAAGAAATAAATGTTATGGCTATATTGGAAAATAAATTGGATTCATTTTCTGTCAATGATATCATGTGTAGGAAGTTTAATGAGTGGAAATTTAGCCAAAAGTGGACTGTGTGCAAGAAGTTGAAAGCTCTCAAAGGCCCCATCAAGACTTTAGCCAAAAGTGAGCTCAATGGGCTATCTTCTAGAATTGAGCAAGAAGAAATTGAATACAACCAGGTACTCCTGTCCCTTCAACTTCATCCTTCTGATCATGATCTGTTGTGCCTAGCTGATAGAAGCAGGGGTCAGATCATGCATCTGCGCAAAGCAGAGCAGGCTCAAACTGCCCAGATTTTGAAAAAACGCAACTTAGTTCAAGCTGACCGATGTACTAGCTTCTTTCATGCCTACATCAAGCGCTCTAAGCATGCTCGTTTTATAGCTGTAATCAATCTTTCAAATGGGCAAAGTACTTCTTCTCAGGCAGACATTGCAAATGCTTTTGTTCAACATTTCAGTGAGCTTTTCCAGGCATTCGAGGAGACTACTGCCCCTATCCCTGCTATATGTGAGGCTGGTCCGAAAGTTCCACTCTCCACCTTTGGTGATTTAATGGCCCCAATTTCGAAACAGGATGTTTGGAGTGTTCTCTCCTCAATGGATGATAACAAATCCCCAGGCCCAGATGGCTATAGCTCTCTATTTTTCAAAAAAGCCTGGAGTATAATAGGTGATGACATTTATGAGGCAGTGAATGAGTTCTTTTCTTCTGGGAAATTGCTCAAGCAAGTGAACCATGCCTTCATTGCTTTAATTCCAAAGTCTGATCATGCTTGCCAAGTGAAGCACTTTAGGCCTATCTCTTGCTGTAACATTTTGTACAAGCTTATCTCCAAAATTCTTGCCTCTCGAATTGCCCCTGCTCTTGAGCTTATCATTGGCCCATTTCAGTCTGCCTTCTTAAAAAATAGGAATATGATTGATAATATATTCCGTATTCAAGAGCTTCTCCACAAGTACTCCCGGAAGAGAGTTTCCCCTCGGTGCCTACTAAAAATTGATCTCCACAAAGCTTATGATTCTGTGTCATGGAACTTCCTCAAATGTAGGGGTGCTAAACGAGCCAGGGGCCTTACATGGGCCTTTGTCTCGGCTCGTGAAGGCCTGAGCTTACATGTCTAAAATTGATTGTTGGACCCAGGCTTGGACTTGTATAAAAGCTCGTTTAATAAAAAAGCATCAGGCTCCAATTCCAAAGCTCGGCCTTAGAGCCTCTCAGGCTTGCCTAATATTTTTTTTTTTATATTTTTTTATATTTTTTATACTACTTGTGATAGCACTCTCTCTCTCTTCTCAATTCATTTCATCCCATTTTATTAATTAAACAGACTTTTTGAATGATTTTATTTTATAATATGCTATTTGGATATACATTAAATTTATGAATATTTATGGAATTACTAGTGCTATTGATTGTAGATTTTGTTTGGGTAAATTTTTGTTGTCTTATTATTTTAAAACAGGCTAACAGGCTAAACCAGGCTTTTATTTTTTGTAAATGAGTCAGGCTACAGGTTGATATTATATTCGTAACATGTAACAGGCTAAGGCCAGTCTGACACATTTGAACACAGGCTCGGTCCGTTAAGACCAAAGCTCGGCTCGGCTCGGCTCGTTAACACCCCTACTCAAATGGATGCTTAATTCAGTTGGGTTCCCTCCTAGGTTCATTGGCTGGATTATGGAATGTGTCTCAACCACCTCTTTCAGTGTAGTGGTGAATGGTTCTATCCATGGTCATTTTAAAGGGAGCAGGGGATTGAGACAAGGTGACCCCCTCTCACCTCATCTCTTTGTCCTTTGTCTTGAATACCTCTCAAGGGACTTGATGAGCCTTAAGGACAACATTCTTTTTCAGTTTCACCCATTTTGCTCCAAGTTGAATATACCCCATATGGCTTTCGCGCATGATATTATGTTACTGTCTAGAGGTGATGTGGCCTCCATTGCTACTATTTTTGCCAAGTTTTCCCACTTTTGTTTGGTCTCAGGGCTGTCAATTAATGCAGAGAAGTCTGCCATTTACTCTGCTGGTATGGACCATGATTCCCTGACGGAAGTGCAACGCTTCACAGGTTTCGAATTGGGCTCTTTCCCTTTCAGATATCTTGGAGTGCCACTTCTGTCCTTAAGACTAAATGTGACCCATTATGATCCACTTATTACTCAAATTGTTGGCCTTGCCCAAGGGTGGAACAAAAAAACATTATCTTATGCAGGGAAATTGGAGCTAATCCGAACTGTGATTCAGGGAATTGCAAACTTTTGGATGGGTATATTTTCTCTCCCCTTTTCTGTCATCAACTGAATCAATGCTCTGTGTAGGAATTTTTTGTGGGGAAAACCGAATGGGGGAAAGTCCATGCCATTGGTTTCCTGGTCTGATATCTGCACCCCTAAGCATGAAGGGGGCCTCGGTCTATTTAGCCTCAAAGAGTGGAACCTTGCTTTGCTTGCTAGGATTTTATGGGACCTCCACTCCAAGAAGGATTCTCTTTGGATCAAATGGGTCCATATTCATTACTTCCAAGAAGGTAGCCTTTGGAACTATGTTTCCTGCACTTCGGACTCTACTTTGCTAAAGAAGATTATTTCGATTAGAGACTTGCTCCTGAACCGTGAGCACCACTTGAAAGGGGCTGTACAAGTGCTATGCTCCTGGACTTCTAATAATTCACTGATTGCTAGCAAAGCATACAACTACATCAGACATCCAAAACTGTTAATGTATTGGCACAAGGTTGTTTGGAACGCTGCAATTCCTCCCAAGGTATCATTCATTTTCTGGACGGCTGTGAAACATAAGTTCCTCACGCTTGATAGAGCCCCTTTTTTGGATCTTGGCTCGGCTTGCCCCCTATGCCACTCGGCTGTTGAGTCCCACTCTCACTTATTTTTCACATGCTCTCAGTCTATCCAAGTCTGGAAAGCAATCCGTGATTGGTCCCCCTTTACCCGTGGATTTCTATCTCTTCAAGGGTCTATTAATCATCTCATCCGAGCCAAGGCTTTTACTAGCACCTTGGGAAAGACTCGTTGCCTTGTGCTTGCAACTACAGTGTATTGTATCTGGTTGGGCCGTAATATTTTGATTTTTGAGAAATCTCCTTTTTCCATAGAGGATGTAATTAACAAGATTAAATTTCTTGTTTATAGGCACTCACACTTGACTCATTTGTACTAGACACATGCCCCTAGTGGACCAGCTTAAGCTCTTGCACTGTATGCATATGTCTTATTTTTTTTTGTAGCGGGGTATGCCCCGTCTATTTTGTATATCATTTTGGGTTAATACATATTTACATTTTTCCCAAAAAAAATGTAGGTACCAGAACAACTACTTATTTCTAATAAATAATTGATTATGCACAAAATGGAATTCTCAGAAACTAATATAATTGTCATTCTGAGACTGAATATATATACATATACATTTTATGTCCTTATTCCCAGGTTGATGATGATTTGAAAAAGCATAAACGGCCATTTTTGTCGCAGTTTTTCTCCCCTATCTTTTTAAAGGTAATAAATTAATATTATTGAGTATTTAATTGAATACAGAGCTAGGCCAAATCTGATCCCCTTTATCATGTCTGTTCCATTCTGTAGGCTTTTTCCATCACCTTTTTTGGTGAATGGGGTGATAGGAGCCAGGTATGTGTAATTAGAAAAGCACCCCCTTTTTTTTTCCAACAAAAGTTCAAGATTGAAGACTACTCCATCACTTCATTAATCATAACATCATTAATCAAAATTTGGTTAATATTTTAGCTGGCTACCATCGGGTTGGCTGCAGATGAGAATGCAATTGGCGTGGTTCTTGGAGGGATTCTGTAAGTTTTGACTATACATTTATGTCAATATTTTTGCTTGAATTCTACATTTATACATGTGTAGTCATACATTGTGAATGCAATGTGTTTGCTTAGAGTCATATGTATGTAGAACGGGTGTCACACGCCTAAGGTCCTGCAATTTCTTAGGGATGACACTAATTCTCTATTGTACGTCACAGAGGACAAGCATTGTGCACTGTTGCTGCTGTTGTTGGAGGAAAGAGTTTAGCATCTCGGATATCTGAAAAAATAGTAATAATTCTTATTCTTTTTTTCAATTGAATGTAGAAATTATGCCCCCAACACTGGCTTTACTCACACATGGTTTACACTTTACAATGGTTATGTTATGTCCACCTGTTTTTCCCCCTTTAGCTTCTGTTAACTTCTCAGTCTTTATTCAAGTCATCATCACTTTTTCATGTTTAAATAATTTCAAAATTAGTTTTAGACTAACAAGATAATGGTATAGTATGAATCTGTGTTTGTATGTCATCTAAGTTGAACTTCACACTTGCAGGTTGCACTCTCAAGTGGAATTCTCTTCATCATTTTTGGTATCCACTCGTTCCTTTCTCCAATCGAATCATGAAAGACATGCTAGTGGTTATGTTTAGCAAATATGCTTGTTATGTTGTGGTTGGCTGCCAAAAGAGCCTTAGTGCTGAAAGACCTTGTTTAACCCATTTGGAAAATTTATGGCTCAATAATCATTGTAGAACCAGAACTGAATTCAATCCATGATGTTAATTTATTTGGATTTTTGTTTTTAATTATGTACCTCCGGTTTATCTTCCTACCTTGATCTGTTTAAAGCATATATGAATTTCCAAAGCTTTCTTTACCGGAGGGGAGAAGTAAGAAAGAATAGAGATTTACAAAAAGAAAAAAGAAAGAGCAAATGAAAAATTAGTAGAGACGACGAATGAATATCCAGAGTTAGAAGCTAAAACTCCTGCTTACTAAATAGTTTCTTACAGAACTCTTTCACTATTACTAATTTTATTTTTTTTCGCTTCCTTTTCCTTCCTCAAATCAAAGGTCCAAATTTTTTCCTCGGGGCTTATGTTTCTATGCAATAAACATTTTCCAATGATTTGAGCGAGTTGTTTAGCTATAGAAACTAGTTTCCTTTTTCAATCACATGATTGAATTGAAATTATCATCATTTCCTAAATTTACACAGTTTATTGCGCAAGAATTAAGAACTTTTGCAATTTTTAAGAGCCAAATTGTAATAAAATTTTGGTAATGGCTCGTGTACGGATCCAACGCAATGATACTAGTGAGGTACAACAAAGCAGGTTTATCTCATATTCTCATTTATGTACTTTTAAAGAAATGAAAGTTACTTGTGTATTAAGTGTTAACGTTTTATTTCTTTTGTTTTTGTTTTTTGGGTGAAGTTACCGGTCACGTTTGAATCATCAAAAATATTGAGTAAAACTACAACTGTTATTAATTAATTTACATAATATGTGCATAAAATGTGTAAAATCATCATCACTAAACATTAAGTACCAGTACAAGATAATCCTAACTATTTATCTCTTAGCCTGCACTAAGAAATAAAAAAGACATCAAATTTTTGGTATATTGATCAGCACCTCCATCAACGGATATGCTAAAGGATCACATTTAAATCCCATGATTTTAAAAAACAAAAACTTGGTCAATTATTTGGTGGAATCCTACAAATAAGATACTTGACAAGGTGTTGTGAAATGCTTTATTCAAAATCACAACTATCTCATGTCTTAATAATAAGATGATGAGGTTTTACACAAGATATGTCTTTTTTCTTTTTTTAGTTTCTCTAAACTTTCAAGTGGGGAACTTATATACACATACTAAAGCAAAGGGAGATTTAAACTGAAACCTGTCATCAGCAACCACCACTAGCAGGTTCAATTGAACTGAGTAACCCATTGCCTCTTAGATGCATGCAATGATCTTCAGCATCAGCTTGAGCACAGATGATTACCACTGAAAGTCCATTGTAGTGAGCTTCTTGCATGATATTAACTGCATTATCAAGGGTCATTCCAGGGATGACCTTCATCAGTACTTGGACTACATATTCCCGTTTATTGTAGTTGTCATTGTGCAATATTACACGGTATGGTGGTGCTGTTTTCCGTGACTTCCTGCACATCTTAGAAAAGCCAGAATCAAATATTTTCTTTCTTTCATTTCATTCTAGAAAGAAAGAAATAGTTAACTATCCATATATAATATCCTAGAAAATTAACCAGCATAACAGAACAACAAAGCAGCTAAACCGCTATAATGGATCTCCTAGTTCCTTCTCATCAGGAAGGTTAAGGCATAAAGATCCACTCATTTTATAAATGACTAACCAAATTATTTTGAATAAATCCAGTTTTAGGCTGGTTTTTACAACAAATGACCACATGCCTTATATTCTGTTGAGATATATAAAACTATTAATGTAATCTCACCCAACAGCTTAAGCTTTGGGGTTGAATTGATTCTTTACATGGTATCAAAGCCTCGGTGTACCGAGTTCGATCCTCACTGCCCTTCACTTTCTTTCTAGTGGAATTTCTTTCTTCGCACAGGTAGGTGGGCCTATGCATTGTCCACCCTTCAAGCTCAGAGGGCTCTCGTGTGAAGGGGCGTGTTGAGATATATAAAACTATTAATGTAGCCCCATCCAACAGCGGCGTGTTGAGATATATAAAACTATTAATGTAGCCTCACCCAACAGCTTAAACTTTTGGGTTGAATTGGTTTTTTACATTATCAATAATAATAGGGACCCCATTGAAAAAAAAATTCTTCAATTTCCCATTGTTTATTGGCAAATCTCTTCAAACATTCAATGGTTTAAATACTGTCACATTGTAATGAGGATCTCCTTGTTATCGCATTTAGAAAAACAAAGTTGAAAAATGAATTTTGCGCATTTAGAAAAGTATTAATTTGAAGATAAACAGTCAAAACTTCTGCTTACTTCAAATCAAATTCAGATTCACGGCCAGGGGCGACTTTTTCAATTACTGGCTTTTCCAGCAGCCCTCCCCCTTTTCCAGGTCCTGTTGCTAAAACGGCCATGGGAACACAAAGATTGGAGCATGGTCCTTTACAAAAAGAATATTTGTCCCCTGTAATGCAAATCTTTAACAACTATACTTGTAGCACTCACCATAACATAGGATGAGACAAGGTTTTATGGACGCTAAACATTTCCAATCACAAAGTAAATTGTAAAACAAGTATATAATATGTCAGAAACAAAACAAGCTATCTACCACTTATAGTGAAAAATTATTAGTAATGAACTTCTACAGGTATCAAGAAACATGAATAAATATGAACAAACACAGGAATTTCAACAAACAAGCACACATAAAAGGGAATGGAAATAAAGGCTCAGGAAAAATGTGCAGTGTACACACCCCTCAAACTTTAAGGCAATTGTAGTACCCACCATGAACTTCTAAATCTCTCTGGATCTAAGAATTTATTTATCTGCATATTAGGTAAAAAATTTGGTCGGCAAGGGAAAGTTAGCAAGGTGGACAATTGAACTTCCGACTTCAAAATCACACCCAAATCTTGAAGGCTAGAGCCGGTGCCAATCGAGCTACAAGCTCATTGGCAGATCTAACAATTTCTGTTATACGATTTGCCAAGCCACTTGCACGGTTCAAGATTCACAAATAAAAAATTATCCTGGCGATTCACGACCGGAATTGCGATTTGATAACCTTGTTATCACTAATATACTTATCATTATATGAGATTTTTTAAAAGAAAATTAATATTTTTGAGAAATTATTTTATATTTTATACTTAAAAAAAAGTGTTAAAATACTCTATTAATTTTTTATTTTGATGGAATTATGGGACCAATATCAGATTAGGTTATGACAAGAGTATTAGCCGTTACATAATTATTGCATGATAAACAAAATTTGTTAAAATAACCGATGAATTGACATATTGTAGCATTTCTCATAGTTTGGGGGTTCAGTTGGTAACATGAAAGTTCATGGAGGCTACTAGTAAAAGTTAATAGGTGCGTATATATTTTTCCCTGAAGACAATGATCAAATACAAATAAAAGAGCAAAAAAGAGGAACAAACCATAAAGAACCTAATACATTCAGGTTGAAGCCAATGTAATATTAAAAACATCACATTACAAACATTACTAGACCCCGTGTCCATCAATCAGGATAAACCACTAACATACTCTTTTGCTTGGCAGGGTTTATCTAAGTGAAACCTCCTCATAAACTCAGGCACTCACCTCTTATACTTACTAATATCAGCTAGCTTGATGTGAAGACAGCAATTTACTTTTCATACATATACATATACTTAATAACTTAAGAAAATATTGGACCCTGTCATTAATAGTGGCACTATCATGCACCATGGTGCAGGTAGTGGCGCCCAGCCGCTATTTTAGCTATGCGATGCCACCATTTGCAGTAGCGGCTATAACAGCCACAATCACGGGTAGTTAATCGTGGCCGTAGCAGCATGATTTCAACGCTAATGTGAAGGACATGTAATAATCGATTGTAAGGGGATGCAATCAACTTTTTCCCCTTCTTTAAGTTGCAAGCCACATCTTTCTTGATTGTGACTCATTTCTGGCTCACTCCCTCTTCCTCCTTGTGCCAGAAAAAAGTATCTCTTGCAACTGTATCTCCTCTATTTTCCCGCAACCCACTCATCAAATAGACATATTTTTCATATTTCCAAGCAAGTATCTTTCCAGAATTTCTTGCTCTCTGTTCATAGGGCTGATGAGCCTTTAACAACCACTAGGCATCATACAAGATTGAAGAAGCAAGCTACTTATATACCTTCAAAGCTCTAGCGGTAGGGGAAAGGAAAAGGGAAAAACAGTTATAGAGAGTAAAGAAGGTGGCGATGAAGAAATTGAAGAGGAGGAACAGATCTGCAATTTTAATAATAGTGAAAGTGATGAAGAAGAAGACTTAGAATCAGGTGGAAATGATGATTGTGATTAGTTCCTTCATTGAATTTGAAAGTGACTACGGAAATTTGTATTCAGCAATATTTAGGTCCTTCCTTTATGTTCCTTGAATGTTGTTAATTTAGTTCCATTCAATGAATTTTTGTTGCTTCCTTTATGTTCCTTTAATCCTTGTTTAGAATGAAAGTGACAATACAATTAATTATGAACAAAAGTCTTTGATTTTGAGTAATTTTTTTTATTTTTGAGCATTTATATATGTGTAGTATAATTTAGTATAGCAATTTTATCCACTTCACTGTCGTATTTATACCCCGCCTATTATACCGCCACAGCATGTTTGGGGTCGGCCAATTGGACTACAAAACATCATCAGGAGCTTCATTTCATTTCCTTCAGTACTAGAAGGGAAGTTATGCTCCTTTTTCCATTCTAGCAGGTGTAGTCCTAATCTCAAACTATGGGAAATGGGTCATTTTTTTAGAGCAGCAGGGAAACTCGAAATCAATCTGATCAATCAACTATACTTTTTTGGATAAACCACAATTATCCTCCACGGGAAGCAATCATGTTCGAGCCGGAACAACCAAATCATGGTGGGACTAGCTCTCTCAAAGAGGATTTTTTGCATTCACGTGAACTTGAACTCAATACCTTGCTTAAGCGAAATCAAGCATGTACCACTTGAACCAATCCCCTGGTGATCAATCAACTATACTTCCCTAAAGGGTTACTCACTTGAACCAAAATTCTACAAAAATAGAATAAAACAAAGGGCTAAAATTAGGAAGTATAATTGTAATTCTAGCAAGGGAAGAACATGAACTAAACGGAGAAATAGGACTAAGTTAATAATACCGAGCTAACCCAATTCCCAAAGATTGTGACTTTATCCCTCTATCTTCTGGGATGATACTGAAAACACCATTGTCAATGAATTGCAGCTAGAGAACTACTTCGGATTGCTAAAACATTCATGCTAGTCAACAAATTCAAAAGAAAAAAAAAAACCTTATTTTGCTGGTTAAAGAAGAAAACGAAAACCCTACAAAAATATAACCAAACCCCAATTTCCCTAAACACCAGAAACTCAAGTACATAACAAAATTTATTCATTCACATCAGAGAGTCGAAAAAACCACTGTGTTGAAGTGCCTAAGGAATCGAAATCTCTGAGAAGTAAGAAAGAAGTGAAGGAAGAACCTGGTTTCGGGTTGAAGACCTGGTTGGGAGAGAGGCCCATTCTCCCACAAATCGCATTCTCCATCTCTCTCTCTCTCTTTTCCTTCTGATTGATGTTTTCTTTTTGGGGTTTTGTTTTTCTTCTCTGCACATCAAAAAAATGAGGAAACCAAAAATGGAAAATGGAAAATTAGGATTGAAAACTGGTGGGCTGAGAAAATGACACGTGTATATATAACAATTGTTTGGCACTTGTGTCAATTAACAAGTTTTATCCTTAACTTGCAATTTACAAAGTTTTATAATTTACAAAACCCATATTATATTAGTTTTTTCTGTATTTTTTTTGAAAAATAACTTACATAAATTTTGAAAATTTAGATATTAGCTTATACGCATAAATAAATTTTAAAATTAAATTGTTAGTAAAAGTTTTAAAAGACTAAATTTCTTGTATACCTGATAATTAATATAATATAAAATAAGAAAAGGAGGTACATGCAATGTTAATAAAATCGGAACAATCAGGGAACCAATAAACCGGTCATATAATCGGTTTGGTTGAATCAACGAACCGGTCAGTTTTCATGAAAATCGATGACTCGATTGGTGATTCGGCCCGGTCTAAAAAAAAAATTCCAAATTTTTTTTTCAAAAAAAAATTCATAATGGACATATTTAAATATTTTTCTGTTTATTGACTTACATGAGTTATGTATCTACAACACTAATATTGTCTCAATTATGCACTATGCAAAAAAAATTTGATTTGATTTATAGTTAGAGATGTCGTTTACTGAACCTGAAGTCTCGTAGCACGATCATTATATCTTTGTTTGATCCTTTATTGTATAATAATATGTGATTTATTATTTTTTATATTAAAATATTTAAAAATTTTATTTTTTTTAGATATTTGATTATGTTATAATTTTTTAATATAAATTATAAAATTGCATATAATAATCAGGTCATGCGATTGAACTAATGATTTAATAACTCAGTACTTCAACCGAGTCAATGATCGAGCCAATTTTAATAATATTGGTTAATGTATAAAATTTTACTGTGTGACAACATTTTTTGACGTGGGCTTCAGTGTAAATGACCTCCTTCTTTTTTGGGCTTTGGTTTCGTACTGTTGCAGTAACCATTTTTTTTTCCTGCAAAGCAAAACGACAACATAAATAATAATAAAAAATTTGTAACAAACACTGTATTCAATAATTATCTTTTGTCTGTAGTTTTGCATGACAAGTAAACTTTTTCCCGTAAAATGATTGTTATTTATCCTTTTTTTATATAAATTGTTATACATACCGCTTTTTTATTTAAAAGAAAAAAAATCTTTTTTTCAATGATTAATAAAAGGGCAATACATTTATTATGTAACATGATAGAAAAAGTAATTCCTATTGATCTATCGATTATTGTGCTAACATTTCTTTTGTTTTTTGTTTTTTTTTTCACAATGGATCCCACCAAAGTTTGTTAGTGTAGGAAATTGGTTTCCTATCATGTTACATAACATAAGTATTTCCCTTAATAAAAAGAGTAAGGATATTCTAATTACTAAAAATTCTCTTACTACTAACTTACTACCCACCACATCATCATTGGATCAAAGAAAGAGAATGTTAAAAAGTTTTTGAAGACAGAGAAAATATTAATCTAATGGTGATTAGATAGGTAGTGAAAAATCTTGATAACGAAAATATCCCTCTTCTAATAAAAAAATGAATAAACCCTTACTTGAAACATAAATATGGGTTAGTTCTTGCTACGTCAACTGGCAGGCCCCATTCCCTATCAGCCTTGTAATCGTTACACCGACAATTTACTTAATTGTTTTGGCTGCCTTAATGGTATTTGACCTTCAAAGATAAGGGTGCCCATTTTGAAGTTCTAAATTCTCGGGAAGCAATTTACGTGAGTTGAAGAAACAATATGGACAAAAAATAAATAAATAAATAGAAAACATGAAGAGATGATGGATCAAACTTATTTGTTTTTTGTTGTATTATAAATTTCATAATTAAAATGAATTGCAATCTATTGTAGTTTTTTTTTTTTAATTACAACAGATTAAGTCATCATCTATATATGAGTGTATTATATAGACCCGTTTGATTAAGTGACATTTTATTTTGGTTTAAATATCTACAACGTTGATTAATGTGAGTAACAATATAGGTTTGACCCATAAATCCGTGATGAAAAACGAACTAAGGATAATAAATTTTACTAGATTCCCTTTATATTTAGGATATGCGGTAGAAACAATTTCAATAGCAGTAAACAAAAGTAACGTGAACTATAAAGGAAGATTATAGTCTTTCAAACTTTACAGGAATATCTAAGTAAACATAATAGCGTACCTTTTGATATACTAAGAATCATGTCTTTAATAAATAAATTTAAACTTTATAGATTGTTTAGCCCTGCCAGAAGGGCCATTGTCCACTCATTTTTGGTTTGATTGAACCTACTGCAAGTGTAGAAGATGCAACAAGAATAAGAATTCTAACGTAGCATGAAAACTGGCCAGGCAAAGAGCCTAAAGATATAGACTACATCGAATTTATAACCTTAGAAGGGAGAGAAGATGTTGAGACCAATTTGACTAACTTAGAAAGCAGAGCTGAGGTTGTTCATGTAATTTGTCAAATATTTCATGTATTAATGATGACCATATTCATGTTTAAGACACATGATGAAGAATTGATAGACACCCCATGCGCATTAGGAAATTATTTAAAACGCGTGAATTAATTTCCAATACTTTCAAAACCTTGAAGAATGGTCACAATGCAACCAAAAGGACATGTTTGTACCATAAAAAAAACAAGGATTAAAAATGGGCAAACCGAGGCTAACGCAATTTTTGGCATACTAATGCAATTTAAATATGTATGACTGAAAGATAAATTTTTGGCAAAAGCACCATACTAAGAAGTAAGAAGGTTTGGTAAAACATTTGCCTAGTGAAAGTATGTTTGATATGTTTTGTCGTACTAATGCAATTAGTTCCGTAATAAGATCAATTTTATCTGGACTCACTGCTGGACTAGTGTCTACCTCAACTGATGTCATGCAGTTTAAGAGTGTACAAAATAACCAAAAGACTGAACTGAACCATGAACTGAACCGAACCGCTCTTAAAATAATCGGTTTTTAAAAATCAGTTTATGAATCGAACCGGTTTTTAAAGAATCAGTTCGTAAATCGAACCAATTTTTAGAATCAGTTTAAAAACTGAACTATTTTGAACCGAACTGAACCATTTTCAAACCAAACCAAATTGATTTTTATAACTTTAATTTTAAATTTTTTTTAAAAATTTCTTTTCAAAATAAGGTCGACCCGAACCGGTTTCGAACCGAATCGTTTCTAACCGAACCAAACCACTTCCAAACCGAATCAATTTTGAACCGAACCATTTTTGAACCGAACCATTTAAACCAATTCGGTTCAATTTTTCAAAAAACTCAATTCGGTTCCACCAATACGCGTTCCTAATGCAGGACCTAATGCAGTCCCATTACGATACTTTTGCCTTGATTTATCTTTTCGCAGTTTGTGTTGCAGAAGAGCAAAGTGGTGATGATTGGTGAATCACCATGTGACGAATTGTGGCACGGAGACAGCTTTCCTCCTTTGGATGATGATTATTTTCGATTGATTTTTAACAAGTACTATTAATATAAAATTGAGTTCATTTTAAATTTTATATGTGAGCAAGAATTATATATATATATATATATATATATATATATATATATATATATATTTGGTACATCGAATTAACTATATATGATACCAAGCATAAGTATACTTAAGTTTATGTAAGCAATACTTGTTATCCTTTCATTTACGGATAAAGATGCAAGTGTGCAGTGTAAAATTATTAATTATACTACAAATAACAATCGTTGATTTTCGTCTATCAACGATTGAGATGAAAAATAAGAATTCTTAGTCTTACCGGTCATACTTTTTTTTTTTACTTTACACGTCAGCGATGTGACTGGAAAGAGAAAAAAAAAATAACTTTTCAGATTTACACAAAGTCTGACCAGTCAGACTTTGTGTAAATCACCTAAAGTATATATTTGTTTTTGCTTTATGTAAAACATCATTGACATTGTTATTGGCATGATCAAGTTCATTGAATCTTATTAAAAATTCGCCATATGCATCCAATTTTTTGTGGTGGGTTATTTAATTGTGTTAGGATCCTTTGACACCAAATTCTATCCGTTGATTTCCGTCAATCAATGGTTATCATTTATTGAGAATTAATATTAATTAATAAGTTTGATTCTCAATAAATGATAATAATTGATTGACGGAAATCAATTGTTAAGATTTAATCTCAAATTTTAAAATTTGACACCGGTGTCAAACGAATTATAAGCCGCCAGGAACAGATTCACAAAAGCAATTTGTTCAATCAATAGGTCAACTTCTCAACAAGACAAAATAAACTTTGAAAAAAAGAAAGCTAAAAAAAAGCTTGCAGCTCAAAGAACTAAGGACATAGTTTCAATCCAAAAAAAAAAAAAAAAGAACAAAGGACACTATTAACTTGATTATCATCGAGTCCAGTCTAATTAACTTGATTAATTAAAAACCACTAGGAACAGAATAAGAAAAAAAGAAAGAAAGAAAGCATTTTGTTCTATCAATAGGTCAACTTCTCAACAGGACAAAATAAACTTTGAGAAAAAGAAAAATATAAAGAGAGTTTCTGGTCAAAGGAACAAAGGACACTATTAAATAGATTATCAACTAGTGCAGTCTAATTAACTTGATCAATTAAAGATGCCATATTCTTACAATGACAATTAACAATATAGTTTAGGTGTAGAATTTATAAGTGGAGGAATCAGCAATAATATTCCTCAAGCCACCAACTGTGGATGTCAACATAATGCACACTCCAATATATATTGCAGCCTGGAAAAAAAAATAAAAATTTGAGGGTCAATGGCAACAGGAAACTACTATGAACTGTGATCATCTGGTTTTTGTATTCTTTTTATTTTAGACTGTTTCTTTGGTGCATTTCAAAAGAAAAGGTGCTAAAGTAAATAAATCATTACCCAATTGATGAACCAGTTGATGCTGAATCTCTTTGGCTTCTTGATTATCAGCCACATTATACTAGGAAGCTGAATCAATTGTAACACCAGATTATTATTGATCTTCTAGGTTTTGAATTAATTCTTGTAAATTTGGTAATTTAATATAATCATGAGGAAGTTGAGATGGTAAGAGAGAGACTTACAAAATATGAAGTGGGAGCAAAACCAAATCCACCAAAGAACCCAAGAAGATCACCAAAGAAAGGGAATGTAATCCCAATGAATAATGTAAAAGCTGTAACATTTTAACAAGTTCTAGTGAATTCAAGACTTTTCATGGAAAGAAAGAACAATTATCCTACCCCTTTCTCTGCTCTTTACAACTATAAGTTTATTTATTTTCAGTGATAGCATGGATGGTTTTGGACATCTCACCTACAAAAGAAGATCTAGCAACTAGTCTAAGTCTTAGTCCTGGAGGGAAGTTGAATCTTTTGATCATCATCCTCTCAATCAAGTCAAAAACAGGCATAGCATAAACCTGGAATCCATATTCTCTCCATTAATCAGGTCAGAAACAGGAATAACCTAATTTGGGGTAGCATATCTTTGTTTTGTATTCATACCTGGTAGCTACCAACAACATGAATGAATACCATTAAGTTAGCTGAGGCAATGAGCCATGCAGGTTTTTCAAGTGCCATAAGCACATTATCATCAACATCTCTTCCAAAGGCCCAATATCCTACAAGTGCAACTGGGAAATAGCATATAGCATTGATGAAATAGGCCCCAACAGCACCTTTCCACATTGGTATCTTTGATGGTTTCTCAGGAGTTGATGGAATTGTAGCTTGAATTTCAAGGACCACAGCATGGCCAGCAAATGCAAATGAAATTTGACCAAGTGCATTGAAAACTCGAAACAATAAGTCAGTTGTACTTGTTTGCTTGTAGGCATAGCTAACATTGTCGACTCTACCTTTAGCCAAAGGAGCCACCCAGGCTATGGTTGAATAGCTGCAACGAAAGCACCATGAGACTGAGTAAGGTAGTGTTTTTGAAGTAATAAGTCACTTTCCTTTTACCCCATCATGTTCTTGTTTTCACTTATCAAAAAATGGTTAAAGAAAAGAAAAGATGACCTGTGGTGTGTCATGGAAGTGGTGGCTCATTTCTCAGGCCTTTCAAAGTAGTATAATTTGGAACTATATATGATATCCATATAATTTGGAACTATGTTAGGCCTTGTAAATTGTGTAAATTCCAACTTAATTAGGAGCAGCTGGATTCAAAAAAATTAATGAATATCATATGATTATCTATTAAAAGTTTACTTTAATTAATCCAAACCATGTTCAAAGCAAAGATATTTTTCTGAAAGTAGAATTTTGTCCTCTGACAGCCGAGTTTTAAAAGCCATGTGACTCTGCTTCTTCACAAACACAAACAAAAGGGTGTATATTTATTGATATCTTTCTACCTTAATTTAGCCTGTCTATCAAATTCTGAGTTTCTGGGACAGGTTTTAATGCTTTGCACATGGATAAATTATTTTGTGAAGAATCCAAATTATATTTTTCCAAGGAATTTGCTTTATATGGATATAAAATGTCAAGATAGCTCAGCAAGTACTCAAAAACTCATAAATATTATTAGTCATGTTCAAAAGCTAGAGTTCAAGAAAAGTCTTAGACATGTGGAGATCATGAAGTACCTTAATGACATCACAGCTGCTGCTAAAGAAACACCAGCAACAGAATTGAAATTGGGAAGCTGAGACAGAAAGAAATGGATGGCACCAAAAATTAGAATCCAGTAGGATTGCTTGAGTTGTGTGCAATTGGTGCATGCAATCTCCATGAACTTCTTAAGGCACTTCCCTCCAGTGACCATGTAGACAATATCACATCCAACCTGGACAATCAATTGCTGAGGCAGCACAATCCATGGTCCAAGTTTTGGTCCAAAAGCATGTCTACCAAGATCAATATAACGATCAAAACGAGTTCCAGGAACACATTCATGGAGTTGGATCATTTGCCACATTGTGTTTAAGGTCAGGCACCAAGATAACAACAACATCAAGGTTCCTGGAACCCTGAAAAGAATAGAAAAAAAAAAGAGAGTCAATCTTTCAGCTACATATTGCTCAAGTTGTCACTTTTTGTGTTTTGTTAAAACCATAGTCTTAATGTTTACCATCCTAGATATGCCATGGCATAGGGCAAGCTGAGAACACCTGCACCTATCATGGCTGTCACAGTGTGGAATGTTGAGTACCACCATTTGGCCTCGCGAGAAGGACCATTGTCCACCCATTTTTGGTCTGATTGAACTTCCTGCAAGTGTAGAAGATGCAACAAGAATAAGACTCCTAATGTAACATGAAGAAATTGGTAAGGCAAAGAGGCTATAGACATAGACTAGTATAGATAGACTACATTGAAATTATTACCTTAGAAGGAGGAGAAGAAGTTGAGACCATTTTGACTTACAAAGAAGAGCAGACTTTGGATTTTGAAGTTATGGTCAAGGGTGTGCATATTTATATGAAGCGGTTCATGAAAGTTAAATACTTCATGTATTAATGATGAACATTTGGCCTTGTAAATGGATCTCATGACATGGAAATGTGAAAAAATCACAATAGATAAATTAACGGTGATGATTTTTTAATTATTCATTTCAACTTCTTTTTTTCTCTTTTCTTTTATTATCATTGATCCACTTTTGTATGATTATGATTTTCTCATATGGAATAAATCTTTAGTACATAAGATGTACCCAACTCGATACATCTTTTTTCCAAGAAGAAAAAACTTTTTCAACTTGATTTGAAAAAAATCAAAAGTATTAAAAAAAGTTTCAAAAAAAGATATATCGAGTTGTATGCATTTAATGCATCGAAGATTTGTCCCCCCACATAACCATATTATGTTTTATTTGAAACTGGGGAATCAACAGTTGTAAGAACAAATCCCTCTAGGCATAGGTGGCATGTGCTAAACCCACTAACATATCCAAGCGTGCAAGGAGTCATTTTGAGGTTTTCATCACTATCTGCTAACATTTTCCTCTGTAGGTAGTTCAAATCCTGGCCACCTACAATGTTGGAAACTTGTAGAGTAATAATATTTTTCTTTATGCTAAAAGAGAATAATTTCTTTTTGAAGGAACATCACCTAATTTAATTACTCTATGGGGGCACCAAGAAACTTCCCACTTTTTTAGTGGGGTAAGTGAACTGGTTTAATCAGATGATTACTTGTATGTGTAATTTGACGGATGATCAAATTGAAATGTGAATTTTACCCTGAACTATGGACCTCTCTCTGAAAAATTTGTTTAATTTTTGGAGTGGAATAATGATTCAAACGTTTTGCTGTGAGTGAAAGGGATCAAACCTTTAATCATTACACTTGTTGATTGTGGCCTAGTGAAGAACCATTTATTTCTGGTTAATGATTAAAGTGTTTTTATTAGGTGAAAGGTGACTGCTAGTGCTAGGAATCTCAAGTTTGGCATAGCAAAAAGAAAGAGTTAAAAATATTATCCTCATTGTTATTCCTATTAGCATATGTAGCACAAGATGTAGGTTACTTTTCTCTCATTTTCCTAATCCTACCCCTTTCTTCCCAAATCAATTTTATTTTTTTTATTTTTTAGTATATAAATTAATTTTATTTTACCTTGTTTTAAAGGTGAATTATAGTTTGGGACTTGGGCTACATAACTTTCTTACAAAAACTGAATTTGGGAAAGGAACAAACAAGCCTGAGTTTGTGACTTGTGACACCTGACGAATGCATGTGTATAGAACTAACCGACTGATATTAATGCCATTTATTTGATACACATTACCCCATGATTTTGCTCATACTAAAACTTAAACAAAAAAAAAAATACTAAAACTATTTTGGTTGATTTTTATTTTTTTTAGAAAAACTTATTTAATTATCTTAATTTTTTCTAAACATGTTTTTCAATTAAATAATTACTTTTTACCTTAAAATGTACAAACAAGCATGCCCTTATATAAACTGATAATTGCCATAATATACAAATTCCTTTCCGTTCATAACTGAAACAAGTACCTCATTCATTTCTAGTAAATAAGTTAATAAATGAAGCATAAATAGAAGAGACAACCAAAAAACGTAAGCTAGAGTCACTCACATATAATATAGATCAAATTCGAAGCTCGCAACTTCATCTTGTATGGGAGAAGTGAATTGAGAGCCACAAAGAATCAGATACCAAAAGAAAGTTTTTTCTTTAATTCTTCCTTTACTTATCTAACCTGGTTTAGTAATAAGTGCAAGTATCAAATGAATGGTGTAACTCAGTTGTCGTATGAGAGTTGAGCAGGTGGAGGTGAAAGCATGTATACAATCCTCTTCAGTATTATTTTTAGGAGGGGTTTAAAATCTTAATTCTGGACCCGCTCCAAATTGGACTAGTCGTGAAGCGATGAACTGATTGGAATATTAAAAAAAAAAAAAAAAGTAATAAGTGCATGCATGAAATTATAAACAACTAAGGGATTATGAAAGTATAGCAATCATGGTCTGAATAATCTAACTTAAATTATAGAGACAAAGAAGGAATTAATCCTTTATTCTTCTTTGTGAACCAGCCACTAACATGGCTTTAAATATACTCAACTTTTCTTTTGTTTTCTTTTTAGAGTGTGTGGAAGAAAATTCTAAAGAATGAGACATCATAAAACAAGGATTCTCCCTTTAGGCTTTCTTAATTGTCTAACAATTAAAAAATTACCAACATAGTTAAAGAGTTGTGACATTAGTTTATGGGTTTTATAAGAGTTATATTGTAGGAAAAGTGATTGTGTCATGTTATTGAGATTCATTTTTCATGCCTTAGTTTTTTTTTTTTTTTTTTTTTTGCTTCAAAAAATATGGACCCCACAAAATGTTGTATGTATAGAAAACTTTACCATGTCAAGTTAAAGGACAAACAAAAACCCCTTAATTTATAAAGAGAAAACAAAATAAGCGCGTCATTTACTCAATGATCAAATTTGGAACTAGAGATTAAAGCCTTCCTAAGCAACACAACCTAGAGACTAATTAATTTCATTAGGCCATAACACAGACACTTGAATTGACAATTTTTTAAATCAATAACCTGATATTGCAACTACAAATCAATATTTGACTCGAACAATTAGAAACAAAATATTGAAAAGAAACCTTATTTTATTTCTGCATAATTTTTGTACCTTTTTTTTTTTCCTTCTCCAAAAGGTTATTTCAATCGGTGATGCACAATTTTGTTTTAATGTCTATATATACTTTGATAAGGCAATAATTATGAATATATATTTGTAAAAAGTTATGTTATGTAATAAGCTGAAAACTAATCTATTGTTTTAAGAAAAAAAGGTTTACTCATAATAAATTATGATATAAATCCTTATTAGTAAAGATAATATTATTATTCAGCATCACATAATAACCCTAACATGTATTACTTCAATTACGGGCCATACTACCAAATTCTTAATCTAAGTGGGCTGATGAGTATTTGTTGTATAAGTAGACAAATGGTTAAATCTTTAAATTCTAACATGAATTAACTGATATATGAGTAAACTAACATAAATATCACTAACACAATTAAAAAATACTGACATGTTTAATAATAATAATAATTTTGTCCATTTCGTAGTAATAATAATAATAATAATAATTTTTTGTCCATTTCGTAATAGTAATAGCAGTAAAAATATTATAATACCAAGTAATTTGTTTTATAATCCAATATATAACTTTGATCATTACCAAACAATAACCTCATAGGTGCTATTATGAATGAATAATTTTAAACTCTAACAATTGGATGATTCTAATTAATCTCTCGTGAAAGAGAGGACAAGATATATATTGACCATATTTCTAGTCTTCCAATTACTCACATAGCCTTTGAAATAGATAAATCACATATCCACCACATGGTTGCTATACAAATCGCATTATGCTATCAAGATGCTTAATTTCTTTAGGGAGAGAAAAGAAGACAAACTCAAGCCATTATGTGGACTTAGTCGGGTCGAAATCATTTTTCGAGATTAGTGGCCCGTGGATCCGTATGTTTCAAACTCAATTCATAAGAACTATTATTTTCATAGGAAAGATATTCTTACTACTAAAATTTTTTACTACTAATTTATTACCTATCTAATCATCATTGAATCAAGGAGAGAGAAAGCTAAAAAGTTTTTGAAAAAAGAGAAAATGTTGATCCACTAGTGATTAGATAGGTAGTGAGTTGGTAGTAGAAGATTTTGGTAGTAAGAATATCCATCATCTTATTTTCATTAGTTTAGATCTTTGGAGCCACACCTGATATTAACCAACGCAATTTTTTGATCAGTGACTATTTATATATTTTTTTAAGTTAGAAGCTATTTATAAGTAGAAGTTAGACCAGATAGATTTTGAGAAAAGTTCTTATAATGAATTTTTTTTTTATATAATGAAAAAAAGAAGAAGCTAAAAGTCAAAAGTTTCAAGGATAGGCTTTTTTTTAAGCTTTTATCAACTTTTCTTGAATTGTGTTTTTTTTAAACGAAGAGCTATAGAGATAGAAAGAGTTTCTTGAAATATGTGCTTTAAAGTTAAAAAATTTATGTAATCACCAAACAACTTTTGAGCCTGTTTGGATCATTTTTTTTAAGCTAGAAGTTACTTATAAGCTAAAGCTAAAACAAAAGAGCTTGAAAAAAAAGCTAAAAGTTGTTTAGTAATTACATAAATATTTTAGCTTAAAAGCACATATTTCAAGAAAATTATCTCTCACAATCTCTATAACTCTTCATTTAAAAAAAAAAAATACACAATTCAAGAAAACATAGAAGAGCTTAAAAAAAAGCTCCTACTAGAAGCTTTTAGCTTTTAGCTTTTTTCTTCGAACCTGTCTCGATCCTCTTATTTTTAAGCTAAAAACTATTTATAAGCTAAAGATAAAAAAAAAAGCTTTAAAAAAATTATATGGAACCCATATTTTCTTTTTCTATCTCTTCTCTTCGTATGATGCCGCAAAAGCTATGTACATACACACACACACAAATTTATTTATTCTGTCGCTTGACGTCCAGCGATGACAAATGTGAAATATAAACTCATATATATATAGGATTTTCGTTTTATCCTTTAACATAACACAACAAACTTTCCTACTCTCACAACATTTTGTGGGGTCCACACTTTTTAAAACAAAAAAATAAATAAAAAATTAAGACACGCAAAACAAATCTCTATAACATTACACAATCACTTTTCCTACCACATAACTCTTATAAAACCCATATATATATATAACTTTAAGATGATGTTGGCGTTTCTGTTTGTAGGTATTGTGACACTGGGGACGGGGGCTGTTTGAAGTCCTGAATAACCCAAGTTTTAATGTCCCGATCAATATAGGATATTCACGTACAAAATTCAGGAGATTGTATGGGCTAAGTTTTAAAAGTTCACTCCTTAAGAGAATCAAATATAGTTGAAAAAGTTGATAAGGACCGACATGTTATTGTCACTTGCTATCTGCTTTCTTATTATAATATCTTTCTCACCACTTACAAATCAGCATATTCACAATTTGACCCAATATCATTTTTCCCTCTAAATTATAAGAAAGTATGTGAAATTTTAAATGATTAAAATGTTAATACACTTTAAGCATGATAATAGGACAGAGACATTATAAACAAAAGTACATGAATGTTATTATCAAACTGATTCCACAACCAACCAATTCCCTGCCTAAACTTTATATTAAATCAACTAATTCCATAAATTTAGCTAACTCATGAAGCCCCCTCCACCCATGTTTGTTGCTCCTTGTGATGAAACTTGTCCCTGAGAAACCAGTTGTGACCGCCCAGGACCTTGAACATAGGCTTGACCCATTCCTGCACCAACCATTTGTTGCTGCTGAGGAAGTTGTTGATGCTGCAGTTGCTGTAATTGTGGAAGCTGTTGCTGGGGCTGTAGTTGTGAGAGTTGTTGCTGTTGAAGTTGAGGGAGTTGCTGCTGTTGCTGCATTTGCGGCAGCTGCTGTTGCAGCTGGGAAAGCTGCTGTTGTTGGACCTGAGGAAGCTGTTGCTGTTGTTGTAGCTGAGGAAGTTGCTGCTGCTGCTGTTGTTGTAGCTGCTGCTGCTGCTGCTGCTGTTGTTGCTGCATGTGAGAAAGTTGCTGTTGTTGTTGCAATTGCGGAAGATGCTGCTGTTGTGATTGCATCTGCTGGTGCTGTTGCTGTTGCATTTGTTGCTGCTGCTGACTGGATAATTGTGGCTTAAATACAACCATATCCTGCTTGCATTCAAGGCTTCAAGTAAGTATGCAATGTATAATCGATCCACAGAATCATAAGAATCTCAAAAGTCAACAACTAAATATGTTACCCCAGGAAAAAGCATCCCAATCAAGCGGCAGGCTTTGTCAGAAACAGATAGTAGCAACGTCTGTGATGGTAATTGAATTACTGCACACTGAAATCAAAACAATAAATTCAGCGTCACATAAAATCCCTCCTGCAAAATATGAAATCAATGGTCCACAGGTATAGTGTAGACTTAAAATTTACAGGGGTATGACCTGACTGTCATTACAAGTAATTCTTCGGATGACAGTGTCACAGGAATCTAATTGCAGATAACAGAAAAATTGTGAAATATACTGATACAGACCAACCACTTTGATAGGGAACAACAGAACAAAAAGAAGAAAAGATAGTTCTATAGAAATGTATTTTGATATGAAGCAACAGTTTCAGTGTTTCAGTAAGGAAAATTACAATAACAGGAACAGTGAGTTCTATGGAAATTTACAGTAACTAATAATAAAAAATGCAGAAAGAAGAAAATGATAGTGTAGAGCAATTGGAGAGGCTCTACTCTCTCCCAAGTCCCAAGGACCAAGCAATATCCCAGATGATTCTCCTCCTCCCATCCCTCCACTACTTAATTAGCTTTTCCCTCCACTTCCCCCTTACAGTTTTCTGTTTTAGTACACTAACAACTCATTTGCTGACTCATCCAAATTGCTTCCCCTTAAGGAAAAGGGTGGTGTTGTATCAATACCCTTTTAAGCACCTTGTCCTCAAGATGCAGATTAGCGTTTGAGAACTTTATTCCGGGATCCCATTGCTTGAATTGAAGGGAGCCATGTATGTCCGAAGAATAATAAGGATCCCACTGTGTGAAAAGTATATGCCAATGGATTTCTAAAATATAAGAGCACCCACCAGGGTTCCACTCTGCTTCTGCACTTGAATCCATGTCTACGAGTTTGAAACCAGGTGTCTTTACTTTTGATTTCACAAAGCAAGTAACATGAGCTCCGATTATTATATTTCCACTAATATCATATTTCCACTAGCAGACACAACAGCCTCATTGAGTTGATGAAAAGCATTGCTGACAGTGGAAAAATTCCCTGCTCCAAACAGAATCATCTTCTAGTTCGCATAATCCAACAATGCCTGTTTTTGTTCTCCACCCCTTCCGAAAAAATCAAATGATCCATCATTCAAAATACCCTATTTATCTTCATTAATTATGAAAACTCTGTTTTGACATTGTTCCAAGATGTCAAAAGCATATTCCCAACAAAATCCCTCAAATTCCACCATAGTTTTAGGCCATGGAAACTAAAGAGTCTTCTTGAATTCCTCTTTGTTGAGATATATAGTCCCACATTGGTTGTATGTGCAACTAATGTGGAGTTTATAAGGCCTTGGACACTCCCACTCTTTGAGCTAGCTTTTGGGGTGGTGTATCCCAAGGTTCTTTACATGGTATCAGAGCCTCGCCGCCCCCCACTTTCTCTTGTGGACTTTCTTAACACAGGTAGGTTGGGCCTGTTGCATCTTCCACTCTTCAAGCCCAATGGGCTCTCGTATGAGGGGGCGTGTTGAGATATATAGTCCCACATTGGTTGTATGTGCAACTAATGTGGAGTTTATAAGGCCTTCGGCACTCTCACTCTTTGAGCTAGCTTTTGGGGTGGTGTATCCCAAGGTTCTTTACACTCTTCAACGAACAAATGCATTTTCCAAAATTGTTTTCTTTCTTCAACGTCAAAGGGCCAAGAGCACACCTCGATTCAATATTTGACTACCTCAGAGTTGCCAAGCTCACGCCATGCTTCAAGACAACCCCAAGATCTCCATGCTCCACTGCTCTCAATTTCCCTACTGGGTTCGTTGAAACAGATATCCACCTTCATAGAGTGACAAGAGGAGACAGAGTCAGAAAAATTGGCAAAACTGACTTGGTTAGTAACAAACTCCTCCCTGTTGCGTTGCATCTCCTCTAGCAAAGTTGATTTGACTTTTCGAAAAACTCCTTGGTATTTCGAGTGAGATGAACGCAAACCATCAACCCCAACCCCTTGATTTCTAGCATCGTAAATCTGGTTAGGGTTCCCAATTGTATGTGGGTTAATTAGCCCAAACATGAAGGATTTCGGGTCAAGTTCTAATCCAGGCTCGGGTCTTTGCGCAGTCATGGGTTGCAATTTACAAGCATCTGAATTAGCCCCTTTTTTTGTGAATTTACAGATTAATTGGTCAATGGGCTTGTAAGCCCAACTTGCATTTAAATCAGAAAGAGAAAGACTTTTACCCTTGGATTGGACTGGGATCAGAATGTCAGTCGGGTCAACCCATTGTTCTGTCTTCTTTCCTGACCTAGTTCGTCCCTCTCTCGTTTGTAATATTCGCGAAGACCTATCCTCTTCCACATGAGGGTTCACGTTCGGTGGAACAGATTCCGTTGATGGGTCAGCCACCTCTCTTCTTATGGTAGTGGTGTCGCCGATTCCTTTGCCTTCTTGATCTCCTTAACTATCTCTCTCATTGCGCTCCTTTCTTGCTCATGCTCCTCCATCGCAAAGCCTAGAGAACGGTTACCATCTTCTGCTATAATCACCGTTTTAAGTTTTCTTCGTCTCTTCTACAAAGTTTCTATTCATCTTCATTTCTGAACTAGGACGTTCCTTTTCTTCTTCCTCGTCGCAAAGATATAAATCTGGATTGTAATACGGTTGAAATTCATTTAGCATCGCCGTTGAGAGATCCCACCAACTTGCATTTGAATTTGACGCTCTCCAAAAAAGGTACCAAATGCGTGCATGTCTTTTCAGTCCCTTTGTCGCCTTTGATACTATGTAAAGAACCAATTTAACTCAAAAGCTTAAGCTGTTAGGTGAGGGTCTTTTTAATGGTTTATATTATAATCTAACGAAGTTAAGGGGCAACGAGACACCCTTAAAGATGCAAGAATTCTATTCCAATCACACACCAAACGACTGCATAAACTGCATAGTGCACACTGCCAAAAAATTGTCTCCTTTTTATGCCAAAAGCCTTTATAACAAAATATCCAAAACTACTAAAAAGTAAAGGGACACACCTAGAGGTCCCGAAAAATATATAAAAAACAAAAAACTCTTTACCTTTTCCTAACAACTCAAGCCTTTAGGTTAATTGACTCTTGACATGTTATGAAGATGAAAGATAGTGAGACAACTAAGAATGTCATGTGACTTATATTCTATGAGTGACAAGTGTTATTATTGTCATGAACCAACTATTCCAAAAGCTTAGGTTTTTTAAAAAATTTATATTATATAGAATACAGAATAGAATTACATAATTGGTCAAAACTAAAATTTAGTTCTTTTTACGAGCTTAATATGTTGATAAATGTGCGGACATAGAAATTCATTTCGGCCACCTATCACTCTATTGTGAAAGACTAAGTTTGCCCATTCTGCCATAAGTACCTCCTTATTCCGAATCAGTGGGGTTCGTTGGTTTGACAACGGGTTGGGGGCGCGATATATTTTGTTCCACCACATAGAATTATTTGATTTTTTTCATTTCAAACAATTTATACGATACTTCAAAGGTGTTAGAAATAATATTAATTTATTATTATTAGAATAGTCTAGATTGTGGGCTTTGCCCATTAGGTCTTTTAGTCTCTATAAATAGAGAGCCTCCTTGTACAAACTTACACACTTGAATATACAATACATTTCAGATTCAATTTGGTATCAGAGCTCTCGATCTGAGGGCTCTGCTTCCGCATATGTATCTTTTCCTTTCTTTTTACTGCCGTGCATCATACCGGCAACCATCCTTTCACACCTAACCCTTATTTAGTCACAAATTTCTTGTCCTCAACCCCGTATCATCAGGAAAAAGATCGTCAGCCTCCGTTCATCACCAGAAACCGCCACAAAACCACCGTCCGCCACTGTTCACCGCCGTCAGACTGCTTTTCCGGCGACTTTTCCGACCAACCACCACGCGATCAGGAGAGGCTCAGGGAGGCGACCCTGTCTGTCCAAGCCGCGTGTTGATCGGAGCATCCACGCGCAGCCACGCGCCGGTGGAAGTCTCCGGCGGCCGAACCACTGTTCCGGCGCGTGAGCCACTGTCCGGCCACCGTTCCAGGCCGGACCACCACCATCTTGCTCACCTCCTCACCCTCTTTCCAGATCTGGTCTCCATTCGTTGTGGGTCCCATCCGTTTGAAAGATATCAGTGAAAAACCCGCTGTTTGGACACTTTTGTGCAACGTTTTTGCGCGATTTCTTGCTTTCTTGTAGTTCTTTGCTATTTTCTGGTCATCTCCTTTTATTTTGTGATGGAGGGCTCAAATAATGCGTCCAAAAACATGACTGGCATCATCTCCGGTACTACCCTATCTCCATTCTTTTCTCGGGCCAGTAATTCCAATTGGAACAATGGACGCGGTCGCAGACGTGGCCGTAGACAGAGGCCTCGTTGCAATTATTGCCAGAATCTTGGGCATTTTGAAGAACGCTGCTATAGGAAATACCCTCATTTGAAGCCACTGTTTGCCAAATTTGCTAAAACTGATGTTACGTCACCTTCAACTAGATTAGTAACTCTTTCTAGTGCCGACTATGAGGCACTTCTCAAGAAGGTTTCTTCTCAGCATCCTACTCAAGACACTGGTAATCATGTTGCTTGTTTTTATCAATCATCTCTTGGACCCTGGATAATAAACTCAGGTGCTACTCATCATCTTTGTGGTAATAAAGATATCTTCACTTCACTTTCTTATTCTAATAACCTACCCCCTGTCACTCTTGCTGATGGCACTAAGGCTTCTGCTCGTGGAATTGGGGAAGCCAACCCAACTCCCCTTTTTAACTTTGAGTTCTGTTTATTATATACCTGGCATTCCTTTTAATTTAATCTCTGTTAGCCAGTTGATTCATTCTCTTTCATGTACTATTACCTTCTCTAAACAATCATTTTCTATGCAGGATTCGGGTACGGGGAAGACGATTGGAGCAGGCGTTGAGTCACGAGGTCTCTACTATCTAATTGCACCACCTTCTCCAGTAGCCTGTTCTCTCACAGAGTCTCCTGAGCTAATTCACAGCCGTCTGGGTCATCCAAACCTCTCCAAGCTTCAGCATATGGTTCCCTTTTTATCCAATCTTAAGT